CCATAATTCTGTATGCCTAAATGTCATAAGGTTGCAATGTTGAGGGGCCCTTATTCTCCCATTCAAGATGACATCAGTGCGAGTGCAATAGCAGGGTTACTGTAATCCTAATACAATGTCTTGTTTTAAACAGAAAAGGGAATATTCAGCTTCGATTTAAAGTCATGCTGTACTGACATGGCCAAGTCATCTCTCTCCATGGATCTCATTCAATCCACATGGACATTGACCTAGATAAGATGCTCATTCCCAAGCCTCAATGTCCAAATTGATAGCCATAGGAAAACAGAACCTTTATCAATCTTACAACTTTGCAAACTTTGCATTGTATTAGAGGTAGAGACCTCAAGAAACAGCTAGAGAGAATTCAAGAAGGGGGGGGGGGGTGGAGAAAATCCAAAACCTTTCAACAACTCCCATCTTGTTATCGTTCTTACCAAAACTAATGGTCTTTAGGTCAGAAGACCATGACTTTACATGTGGATTTTACTATGATAGGGGAACATGGTGAGAGCGTGGGAACATCTCCAAGTCATAGGACCCTACAAAACATAATAGTCTGTTTGTTGGCTTTGCACTTTTACTAGTACTATCAGTAAGCCCCCTATAGTATCTTTAAAAAACATTCAAAAATTAACATTTTCTACAGATTTATATTTAAGAAAAAAGATTTACCAAAAAAAAAGAAAATCAAACATATTATTCATATACTAAAAACAGTATAAAAAAAAAAAAGTAAAAGCAAAGTTACAAGGCTTTTTTAATTATAATCATACAGCTCTTGCTTGCTCTGTAAGATTACAGGAGTATTGTCAACCAACTTTCAAGAATGTGAAACAAATTCTACTCTCTGATAGACCAGTAACAGAATACAGATATTGACCTTTCATAATCATGTCATATAGATGAACTCTATTAAAGTCAATATAGTATTTACATTGATCTAAATTATCATAATTAAAGTATTATTATTGTACAACGTAAAGAGCTGTTAATGTTTCTCTCACATAATATTTTTTTTTTAACAGGTCTGCAAGTCAAATTCAATCAAGGTATTTCACTATTGACTGGACACAACATGTGTTTTGAGAGCAATGAGAATTATTAGTATTAAGTGCATAATTAGTTAATTACTGGACGCATAATTAGAAATCTACTCAGAGACAGCCTATACATACAGAGGCACATTGAAGGTCTACTTCTTGTCTAGACGTAAAACATGATGAATTGAGTGAGGGCCCTTGTTACCCACAGACTGCTTTCCAAATCAATATAGATTAAAAAATCTTTAAGAAAAACCCAATTTGAGTGAAAACAATTATTTGTTCACTTTTTGTGTTGTGCTGATATTCAAGAAATGGTTTGGATTTTTCTTGTACTGTGCAATACATTGTTCTACTCAATGATAATCATCATTAGATATAAATATTTCTTTCTTATCTGTAAATACTGCAGTCAGAGTAAAATCTAATCTTTGGCTTTGCTACTCTCTAAAAAAAATCGAGTGATCACGGACGTCACTCCTCTGGAGAGTGAAAATGTAGTGAAAATAGAGTGAACATTCACTCTTTTCTTCTTAGAGAGCACTCTTAAATCAATCTATTTTCACTCCTAAACAAGTGATCACGGACGTCACTCCCAAGAAAGTGAAAATAGAGTGAAAATTCACTTTTTTTTTAAAGAGAGTACATGAACATGAAAGGAAAAAAGCAATTTGAAATGAATACACATGTAGAGTGCCCCTAGACATATACTTGTTTAGGGTATTTAAAATAGAATGTAGGCCTTTCATTTTCTGCTTTTATATCATGAAAGTCAAGATAATTGCCGGAATTATACTACTGCTAAGGAATATGGTGTTTTGCTGTACTGCATAAGTGTTTATAAAACGCCAGAGGGCCAAAAAAGGAAGTCTTTCCATTCTTTCTTATCACAGGTCATTGATTATTCTACTGCTCTATGGATATTGCTCTACAACACACCATCCTATTGACTAGCTTCTGGCAATGAACTAATAACAACTTACGAAGTCAGCCCAGATGCCTTGAAGGGGCCCCACTTTTTTTTTGCCTGGACTTTCTTCATCTGCAGGAGAGCGTTGTTTATATGAACTTGATTAGCATGGAGTACGAGCTATAAACAGCCTGCCATGACTGAGGAGAAAGTCACGTCGTAGATCTGGGGGAAAGGCATCCCATAAACTCTAATAGCCTAGCTGAGTGGACTTGAGATAGGCAGGGGGTATTGATCGGGACATGGAGAGGCGTATTCAAAATTTCAAATAGTCATCACAGGGTTGGTATTGGGTGGGGTGTGGGGTGGGGGAGGGGTTGGAGATTGAGTATAGATGGGGATATAGAGAGATTCGTCGTGGGCTGGATATGAGGGGTGGGGAGGGGGTTGGGGTGGGGATAGAGAGATGCATTCAAATGGTTATCATCATGGGCTTGGTATGAGTAGTGGGAGTTGGGGATGGGGAGAAGATGGAGATAATAGACACCACGCATTCCAATAATTATCATCATGGATTTGGCATAAGCAGGGGGAGAGGTGGAGTTGGTGACCAACTGTCAATCAACAGCACAGGAGGGCATTAAAATATCTCCATGTGTTTGACATATGTTTATACACAACTTGAGTTTTAAAAATTTGAATCATACACATGTTTCTTTCAAATATTCACACTGAATTTTGATAGATGAAAAACAACCCCTTCCCAAACCTGGACATTGTTGGAATTTGCGCGGATATTATTACCACATTCAAAGTCATACATGCCATGCAAATGTAATTATGAGGTAACAGTTGATTGCCTAACTACAGCAAGTGGGAGAGAGATGACAAGCTAGTGCCATTTACAAGGTCAACTACATGTACGGCAAACAATACTGCATGTTGAGAGAATTATACAATTCGTCGCTGTAAATTGCATTCACTTTGCGTGACGATTTTCCTCACTACCGTCACTTTGTGAAAACAAGGACGAATTACTATATGGCTTAGGGACTGTCACTTTAGTAGTCCAATAACGTTATTCACGATATTATGCGAAAGTGTATTTCATAGTATCACCAAGGACATTCGACTATAGTTAATGAAGTGATGGATAAATAAATATCAAAGCTAGATGTTAATTTATTGGCTTGGATATTCAATTTTTGAATGTCAAGAACAACTAAAATGAAAAATGAAAATAACATAATCAACAAGCTTAAACTAAAAAATTGTATGCGAAATATTGTCACGTCACTATGAAGGCTAAATCAATTGAGGATTAAGTATTAAAGACATAAAAAGTAATGATGTATAAAGAATAAGATTGCCCTCTTCTCCCCCCCCCCCCCCCGAAAAAAAAGACTTCATTAGGCAAAAAATGCTAAAGAATAAAATCATGAATAAAATGAGGAAAAAGATGAATAAGACAAACAGCCTTTTCACACACAGCTAAAATTCTATAAACATGATTAGTTTAAAGGGCTTTAAACGAATCACCTGTATATACGACATCATTCACACACAGAAATTTCCTTGCGATCGTTAATCGTTTTGTGATTAACTACTGCTCTTAAAATGTGCAGTAGTGCCATTAGCGCATTGAAGGTCAGGTCATATCAAACAGAGCGCTCGCTCCATCCAGTTTAAACACGTTTAAACAAGAAAAACCGTTCACACACAAAATGTCAAGCTCTCTAGATACAAACTTTGTATCTGCAGCCTGCTTTTGGGGGCGTATGAATCGCGACTTCGTATCTATCCCAACATCGTATAAACGATGTTCACACAGGGAAAATTTTCTATAAACATGTTTAAATCTGTTGAGTTAAACACGTTTATACTAATCATCTGTACATACGATGAATTTTAGCTGTGTGTGAAAAGGCTGAAAGTCACAAGCAAATTCTGCGACATTTGAAAAAAAGAAAGAAAAACAACAAATCAAATCAAACCAAAGAAATGAAATAAGCAGATACCTGACAGAGTGATGAGGCAGTGTGAGTCATCATACAGGTCTACCATACCACACAGTCAACTCAATCTTCAAGGTTACATGTCTACAGCTAGCTTTATAAATCACATTAGTCCCCCTGAGACATTTCAATAAATAATCACATCTGAATGTACACATGCACTTCAGCTGAGAAATATCTCACCTTCATCAATCCGATCATCAACCAGGTGAAGTCATGGGAGACATGCAGAAGAGTACATGAATATCCCTTTTCTTTTCTTTTCTTTTACTTTAAATTGTGATATTCTTTCTTTCTGGTGTCATACAATATACCAATATAATAATGACAATTTCTCATCAATTCATCACATAAAACTTAAAAAGGCTTTAACAAAATTACTTTTAGTGACCTACTGGTGAAAAGAAGAAAAAAAAGAAGACATGAACTGTTTTACATATATGTGCACCATGAAGCATAAAACCTATGGAGAACTAATCTTTCTCTAAAATAAGAAAATTTACAGAATTTTCAAAACATAATCCAAACCTGTCGCGCATTATTTTCCTGGCGACCAGGACGGCTATAAATGTACAACCAACGTCCCTGCAAAGTCAATCAATTCACAAGGTCTGGAGCGGATAGAGGAGGGAGACTATCGTGGTTGGATCAGTTTGTATAAGAGGATATATGTTTATGTCAAGTGTAAACCATTCAAGATTTATTACATAGCTGTTAACCTTTCTACCTGGCTCCTGGCACCCGGATCCTTCAAACAAACCGTCAAATATAAATATATTAATCAGGGAAATTATAAACTTTACTGGCATGATGTTGTCTGCATTGAGACAGAATTGGGTCATCTGCAGAACAAACCAAATAAAGATATACAAAAAATATTACAAATTTAATACCGGGAGAATAACAATGTCTCAGTGTATAATCAAATAATGCATAATCATGAAAATCATATCATGTAAATTGATTATTATCTTCAATGGTACTTTTTTTGGAAACATTAAAAAAAAAAAAAAAAACCTTTTCTACACTTACCTGTAAGTTATCCAAGATGAAGTCCACACTGAATGCAATGAAACCTGTATGAAAAGAATAAAACAGATATACATGAAATTAGAATGCATGACATATTGATATGCAATTCAAATATTGCATCTGAATTATATCCCTGTAAGATTAGGCTTCCAAACAACTCTTTTTTCTTCATCTTTTGTCTATTTCTGTCCATATCCCCCTATTTGATGTATTTTGTTCAATTATCCCTCTCCATTCTATCCACCTGCTTTTTTCAAGCATACCTAATGCAATCAAATATCCATCTTCATTTTGTATTTTACTCTTCTCTTCATTCAATCCATTAATCTGTCATCACTGATCAGTACTTTTACCCATATCTGTTCCTCTGAGGCTACCTCTACCTGAAAATTTGTCAGAAATACAGAAATGAGTTTTGACAGATACCTGTTTGATGAAATCCGGAAAATACATACCGTACATTAAAAATGCATTTGCATATCATACACATGGAGAGGATAAGTAATCATCAAAAACCTTTTCCCTCAATGAATGTCAATGGTACACCTATATGTTATGAATATGACTCCATTAAACTAGCCCAGTGATCAATCTAAATTTGTCTTGAATGATCCTCAAAGCTCATGATATAAATTACTTTTGGATCAGCAAAAATTTTCATAATGCGCTGCATCATAACGAGTTGAATGCCAAAAAATAAAAGTATAAAAAAATAATATTATACTAGGAAAAGTAGACTTCCATTTGCTGTAACACTAATATTCTTTGGTACATAAAATCGTCATATCGTTCCTATTTTCACGAAGTGACTGTAGTGAGGAAAATCGCATTAAATTTGCGTGACGGTTGTCCTCACTACCGTCACTTCGTGAAAATAGGGACGATATGTGGGAATTCACAGATACATGAAGAAGTGTTTAAATGGTCTCTCTAAAGGTAATGCTATTATAAATTTTGTTCATGGTAACACGCTATTGTATAATGCAATTATTTTGCAGCTTCATGTAGACCTCTACGATGAACAATTAAATTCTAATGAGACAAGGCTAAAGCAATATACGCACCAGTACAGGTTTCGGTACATGTATGGTATCTCTGTTTTTTGAGTTGTTTTGTATGAACTGCGAGGACTCTGGATGTTTCACGGTATAAAGAGTGTACAGTCTGAGAGCTACATACTGTACATATTGGTCTATATAACTAGAGGGCTGATAGATGCAATAGGATTAACCAATGATAAAACTGTCAATATTGGATTGGAATAAACTAAAATAGATAACACTCCTGTGAAGGTCTGTGGAGGTACATGTAGATGATTGATATATTAGATTTGTATGACAAAAACAAATTACTCTCGGGTGAAAAGGCCCTAAACCATGTACAGATTTCTGATTTGGTAACATCACGTAGGAAGATGCATGCAAATTTATGTGTCATAGAAGAAGAAGTACACGTGCACCCACCCTTCTGGGTTGTCTTATGAAACGGTACATCAATTATTCACAAATCTCCTTGAAATATACAAAAAGGATGACTCACTTTAGCAATTGACTTGGTATATAGTATATACCACCACTCTTAACACTATACAATATTAGCAAGTGACTAATCTCTAGTATGCATGCATTACTATATCATTCAATGATGTAATGAACCTTTCTCATAGGATTGTGTGTGACAAGTATTACATAACCATTTCACAATGTTGGTGGAACTAATTATAATTCATTCAATACACATGTACATTAATGAGCACATTGTTGATCATGTATAAGTAGGTTCATTGCATTATTGATTTTCCTCTCCCTGTCATAAACGATTTGTCCCTCATTGATTAGAAAACTATGCACAGATATTTTGCACCATATACTGCTTAATTGTTTTGAAATCTATACCTCCCTCCTATTCTGCAATCTTTTTTTTGCTCAAAAAATTCCCTCCTTACCTTGTTCAGATATGCCAAAGTAAAAAACAGCATTTTGTTGGTGATGTATTGGTAATACGTTTCACATTTCCACATCTTTAATACACTATATACACTGTAGCGATTTACGGGAACATGGGTAGGACCTACATGTATGTTGTGCGCAGTTATCATTCATTTACACGTTTAAAAAACCTGCTGCGATTTACCATCACATACCAGATGTAAACGAGCCTTTAAAAAAAACACTTAGAGCCAATAAAAGACGGTCCCATTGATATTTCCAGCCAAGACAAACAATAATATTGCTTCTGAGTATCCCTGATAGGCGTTCATAATTTCTCCTCTCTCTCTCGCTCTCTCTCCCCCCCCCACCACCTCCTCTCTCCCCCCCCCCCCCACCACCTCCTCTCTCTCCCCCCACCTCCCTCTCTCTCTCTGTCTCTATCACTATCTCTCTCCCTCTTTCTCTCCCTCTCTCTATACCTCCCCCTCTCTCTCTCTCACTCTTTCCCCCTCCCCTCTTTCTCTCCCCCCTCCCCCCACTCTCTCTCTCTCTCTCCCTCTCTCTCTATCTTTCCTTCTTTAAGTAAAGAGGACAGTCAGCACCTCAAGGCCGATCTTGTAAGACATGCTGGGGTTCTATGGGAGCATGAAGATAATTTAATTACCATCCTAGAAATTGATGGGACACAAAGGGGTCCCCTAAATTAAATTTTGGATGAACACATAACGTGAGAAATTATTCCATATGGAATATCCAACTTTTCACCTCAGAGGCTCCAAAATATTGGATTTCACAGATTTAATCAACGGATTTAATCATAAACGGATTTCATAGCTTAAAATTACGAGCCCATCACATGGATTTTCATTGACACAGATGTTGCTGGTCAATCCCATTGGACCGATAAGAAGAACTATACCTATAAATCATTCCAGAAGCATTCTCCTGTAATTAACATGGAAAATGAATATCGGTGTTATGATGCCACAGCTGGAGGCTCAATAACATTAATTAGTAAGGTGAGACTAGCAAGCAACACTCATATCAAATACATTTTCCACATATTGATATCCTTTTCATTAATGGAGAAATTGGACCGGACCTATATTTAATAATTTTTTTATAGTAAAGTTACATCAGCTACAGCCCTACTTATTGTAACAAGGATTCATTTAGCAGTTTAAAATACATAGTCATGGAGGTCACATATATTTCTCTTACATGTACATTCAGTAGCCAAGATACAGTTACAGAATAAGTACATATCTATTTATTTTTTTGAATAAAAATAATTATTTTCTATAAGGGGGTGGCAGAAAACCTGTTAGCATACAGTATAAAACCAATCTATTCAGAAAGAAATCTGAGAGGTCTTTAATTTATTTACTGTCAACAACTTGTATTCCCTAGCAATATAGCATTAGTGGCAAGTTCAAGCAAGGAATAAGTTTGATGGAATATATATCATTCAAGATAAGAGAGAAAGATACGGTAGGTGAAGCGAGATGGAAACAAATTCATCCTTACTATCGTACAGAACGCCCATTGATTCAACCGAACTTCCCCGATATCCGATTATACACTACGTGACCCCACCTGTGCAAGATGAGCATTATTCACAATCTACATCAGATTATGTCTAGGCAAACATATGCATACCCCGGTCCCACAGAGCACACAAGCATATGCCCCCTCCAGCTGAGGACCCTGTATGTCACCGTCATTATCCGCAGATATATACGCAGCAAAGGCACATACCGCATCCCAGAAAGCATCTTTATTACATTTGCTTTCAGAGATGCGATCCGCTTGCTCCTCGTGCACAACCCAAGCATCATCAGTATGTTATTTATGCAGGGTGGCACGCAGCTAGCGTCCTGTCAGGATGTGGGTTAGGTTCAATGTACAGCGGCTGGCCGGGAAGATGGAGGCGGCCATATCAGAGTCATTACACATACTACACGTTCTAGCGGACTTTGTTGTTATGAATACGCAGTACGTGTACTTCAACGATACAATGATGATTAATACAAAAGTGTGTATGAGGACTGCTTACTGCTATGTGTCGTAATGGGAAATCCAACCTTGATAGCAAACTACTCTAAAAATAAAGCAGAAAAATCAGAGAACTATGGTAGACTGGCCTAAGTTTGAATGAAATCGGACAAAAAATGAAAAAGTTATGAATTATTGAATTTGTAATCACTATAGGTATGGGCTCTTCAAATTTGCTGAATCAGTATATCTCTCTGTAATGCAGTGGCAGACAACTTTCCTATTTGTTCCAACACACAAAATGACTAAAATTGCAATATTTCAAAAATGTTTGACACTGAGACCTTTTTAGAGGACCAATAATAATATGCTATCCATAATATATTTTGAGTAGTGCCCCAAGGGTGAAGGCATTTAGGAGATAAACAGAAATTAAATACATTTTTGTACATGACAAATGGGAGAGTTATCTGCAACAACATGTACATGTACATGTACGTCACAATCCACTGACCATACTTCCAATTTGAAATTTGCATAGACTTAGTTAACGTATATTTCAAACATTCATAACTTTCTTATTATTGCATTTGGTCCAATTTATTCAAAATGTTCACAATTCTGTTTATCTCATGTTTCTGCTTTTATATAAATGAACGGATAAGGGTTGGATTGCCCATCAACCTGTTGGAAATTGTTTCCTTTTGGTTAAACATGCTTGTAGTTTCAATTCAGTGTTTCCTTGGCAACATGTAGATGTAGGTTTTAATGGTGCAATCAATTACAAATGTCGGTCATCAAATAAGTTAAATACATTCATGTATGGTATAGATCTATTACCTGGTCAATAGCAACATGTATAAATAGCCATGAACGAAACTACATGTAGTTTCAAAACCATAAGAAACCTACATGTATACACACATCTTTTTTTTTAATAAGATAAAAACCCGCAATGATGATGTGAGATATTCATCCCACCTGCCACACACTATCACTATACTTTCATATTTGTTTGAAGTTGACATTGTAATTGTACCAATCAATCTCTTGTGCATGGTACAGGATTCAGACGGACAATACAGTGGGTTCTTTGACCACAATCTATCTCCATTAAT